GGCACTCACTGAGTCATTCACTGCGATTTCTAGGCTGGCTCTCCACTCGACGCCTACCAGAAATCTGCACTCCATGTGTCTAACATCTGGCCCTTGGTTCCTGCTTGCCAGCATCCCCACTTCGGTAAGTGACACCTCCATCCTTCCAGCTGCTTAGACCACAGCCTCCCTTTGGGGCACAGCCTTCATCCAATCCACAAGCAAATGCTGTCTCCACACCTTTGGAAGACCCCACACCAGCCACCTTCCCCACCCCTACCCCTACCCCAGCACTGGGGCTGGTCTCTCACTGCCTCCCCCGCCCCTGCAGTCAGGATCAACACAGCGGCCAAACTGCTCTGAACCCTGCATCAGACCGTCCTACACCAAAACCCACTGCAGCCGCAGCATCCTGAGGCAGAGCCAGGCTCTCACAGCTGGCGCAGCCCGGCAGAACCCTACTGTCCCCAGTGCATGGTGGCTCTGGCCCCAGACCTCTAGGGGACACTTTCACATGCCCACCAGGCCTACAATCCTGTCCCGATGCCAGGTGCTCTTGCATGGGAGATGCCAAGCCCAAGCTTGGTCCTTTCACTCTACTGCTTCTCTTTACAGCACTTAGCACCGCTGATACAAATCACTGTTCATTTCTTTACCGTCTACATGTAAGTGTCTATGTGTAAGCGGCATTGTGTTTACTGGAGGCTAACCCACCAACAGGGTGGGACTGAGCTGCCAGGTGTGGTGGCACACGACTGTAATTCTAGCAATCAATCCCAGAGGCTGAGGCGGGAGGCTTGCACTGAGTTCCAGGCCAGGCTGGGCTACAAAGTAAGTTTAAAATTATCTAAAAATCAAAACAACAACAACAACAAAAAACACAATATGAAAGAGCTAAAATCATTCAAGGGCAGTCACAGATTCTCCAGCAGGTTTACTGGTTTGTGTTTAGCTTTCAAAACTGTGTGTGGCCAAGCATGGTGGCACACACCAGTGTGTGTAATCACAAGTTCAAGCCCACCCTGGGCAATTTAGCAACTTAGGGAGATTACCTACTACCTAATCATTGGATGATTACCAGTGCTGTAATCCCAGCACTCAGGAGACTGGGGCAGGAGGATCACTGTGAGTTCAAGGCCAGCCTTGGCAAACAGTGAGCTCAAAGCCAGCCTGGACTACATAGAAAGACCATGTCTCAAAAAGACGAACAAAAAAAAAGAAAAAAAGAAAAAGAAAACAAAGCTGTGTGTGCATGCAAGCGTCTGTGTGCATGCATGCGTCTGTGTGTGCACATATGTGTGTGCTACAGGTTGAGCCCAGGGCCATGTGTTGTTAAACACACACTCTACCACTGGCCTACAACTCCCAACACCTTAAAACTTTTTATAACGAGACCTTTGGGAGTGAGGGGGCCTCATTAGTGGGAAGAGACTAATGTAGTCCTTGTCTATAAATCTTGGGCCCCTTCAGGGGCTGATTATTATTTTGTTCTGGGGTGTTTTGTTTTGTTTTGTTGATACAGGGTCTTGCTATGAAGTTTAGGCTGGCCTTGAATTCACTATGTAGCTCAAGCTGGCCTCAAACTTGCAGAGATCCTCCTATCTCAGCCTCTTAAGCCTGGCAAGAGCTGATTAAATTTAATTATTGTATCAGTGGAAGACATCTTCTGGTTCATGTTAAGGGTGGAATCAGTTCTACACTAGTAGAGAGAGAAGGCACATTACGGGAACCATGGTGTTCTTCAGGAGAGGGAAAACAAGCCTGCGAGCAATTAAAAACCCCTGATCACACACTTCACATGGGCATGTGAATTACACCTCAAAAACACTGTCATGTTAAAGGCAAAGACAGCTGGAAGGAGCAGACTCATACAGGACTGATGAAGCTGAGGGAGCAGCAGAAACCAAACAGAAACAGGCAGCAACGAACGTCTATGCAGCTGAGTCAGAGATAAAAACAGCACCTCATCCTCCATGCCTGCTCCCTAGGCCTTGCTGGCATGCAGACCTCAGCACTACTGGGACGCTCCACTGTGGGAAAGAGACCAGACCTGAAAGAAGGGGACAGGCCCCGCTCGCTCACAGGCCATCCTGGGCGCAGCCCTTGCACTGGAGCTTATAAAATCATCACCTCTGGATCATGGGGACCCCCAAATCTAAGGCAGAAGCCAAGAGTCTCAGATCTGCTGAGAACCAGACCTCCACCCAAGAAGAAGCAGCCCCTCAGCAGGATCGCTCTCCCCACTTCTGCTAGCAGCACGTCTGCTGCTCTGAGGCTGCCAAATGTGTCTGCCATGAGCAGATGACCATCCTGACGGCTCCCCCAGGGACAGCTTTGCCGCAACACTGGCAAGAAGCACACTGTGAGTGCTGAGGTCTCAGTAGTGGCCTAAGAAAGGCACAGAGTTATGAGCTGGTGCAGGAAAGGACTGGTGCGGGGTTAGCTCCCTCCCAGCCTCTACGCCCTCATGTTCCCCTACTCCTCCTTCTCCCCAACACATACAGGATGTTCCTCAACACACCATGGGATTATGCCCCATGAAACTCACTGCAAGTTGAAAGTATCATAAGTCAGTGATGGATTTAATATGCCTACCCTACATGGTTTAAATGTTCCCTCCAGGACTCATGGTTGTTGTTGCTGTTGTTGTTTTTTGGGTACTGGAGGTTGAACCCAGGGGCCTTGCCCTGAGCTACATCCCCAGCCCTTTATTTTCTTTTACTTTTATTTTTATTTTTACTTTGAGACAGGATCTCCCTAAGTTGCTAAATTGCCCAGGGTGGGCTTGAACTTGTGATCCTCCTGCCTCAACCTCCCAGAGTTCTAGCTATCATGCTGATATTCAATGAACATCCTGACAACATAAGAGGTGGGGCCTTTGAGAGGTGATTACACCCTCACAAATGGATTAATAAAGGCAGGTGCAATTCCTGATCAAAAGGAGGAGTTCAGCCAGGTTTTCTCTGTCTCATGCACATGCCTATTAACCCTCCCACCGATAATGGCAAGAAGGCCCCTAGCAGATGGGACCCCTAAACCTTCAACTTCCCAGCCCTTAGAACCATGGGTGAAATAAACTTGTATTGTTTAAAAGTTACTCAGTCCAGATGGAGTGCTCTGGAATAGCAACAGAACACAGAAAAGGACAGTGGTTCCCCCTGGTGATCTCAGGGCTGGCTGGGAACCACAGCTCGTTGTCAGTGCCCAGCAACAAGGAAAGCACCAAAACTCAAGCTGGGATGCAGCTTCTACAACACGCCGCCACTTGCACTGAAGGCAACCAGGGAACGAGAACCGTCACCTCCGCTCCTCATTCCCTCCCTCACTACGTTTTCGTCTCTCTTCTCTCCACAGAGCTCTACAGCCTCTCACCACAACTGCTCAGACCTGGGTAACTCAGCTTTCTGCAGGACTGCCAGGCCCCTGCCAAGAAGCCCTGCACCACCAGCTGTGGCTGGCAGCAGAGCCAACATCCCGCTGTGTTCCCACGAATGCCCTGCACAGGTCCTGCCAGGCCACAGGAACGGTCACTCCATCCAAAGGTCGGTCCCAAAGTGCCTTTCCATCCTCAGACAAAAACCAACTGAGAGCCTTGCTCTGAGCCAGGCCTGGTGGACACACCTATAGGCTCAGCTATTCTGAAGGGTGAAGCAGGAGGATCAATTACACCCAGAATTCAAGGGCAGCATACCCAGACCCCATCTTTTAAATAAAGTCCTTATCTTTTAAAGATGGGTAGATAATATAATGTGAAGTCTGGGATCTGCCTCAAAATAACACTGGACAGGAGGAGGAGAGCAGGAAGGGCAAATAAATGAAACAAGTTGGCCAGAATAATTAACCATTGAACCTGAGGGAGGAGTGCATGGAGCCGATGTCAGGTGAGCGTTTTCCTCATTTGTGAATTTCAGGGCCATAGGGACCCAGCCCTTGGGTCCAGTGGACTGGACCACTGGCTAGTGGGCTCCAGGGTCCAGTGAGATAACCACCAAGGTCACATCCAACAGGTAGTTATTATAATAATTAGAAAATCACAATTCTTGGCAATAATATGAAAAAATGAAGTCCTTGTGCATTGCTGGAGATAATATAAAGTGCTATAACTACTATGAAAGTACAGCAGTTTCTTAAAAAATAGTAGGACAGTTTCTCAGAAAATTAAAAAAGAAATGACATGTGCTGAATGCGGTGGTCTACACCTGTAATCCTGGTACTCAGAGACTAAGGCAGGAGAACTGCCGTGAGTTAGAGGCCAGTCTGAGCTACGTAGTAAATTCAAGGCCAGCCTGAACTACATAGCGAGACCCTGTCTCAAAAAAACAAAAAAAGGGACATGACCCAGCAATTGTGTTTCTGAGTATGGACTCAAAAGAAGCAAAGCAGGCTCTCGAAACACTGGTACAGCCTTGTTCACAGCAGCATTAGGCACAATACCCAAAAGAGAAAAGTGGCCCAAGTATCCCGTGTGCAGAGCTAAACCAGATATGGGATAAACACAAATAGAGTGTTACTCAGCCTTGGAAAGGAAGGCACTGGAGCTGTAGCTCAGCGGTAGAGCACTTGCCTAGCACGTATGAGGCCCTGGGTGTAATCTCTAGCCCCATAAAAAAATGAAGAAGAAAACATTTCTGACAAACACTATAACATGGAAATAATATTATGCTAAATGATGAATCACATAGACACATACACTGAATGAGTCCACTTATATGACAACCCCAGACAGGCAAATTCAGATAGGAAATCTAAGGATGAAGGCCAGGAGCATGGGGGAGGCAGGGAGCAGCCGTCTGGTGGGTTCAGAGTTTCGAGGAGACACAATAGAAGGTTCTGGAATGGGTAGGGCTTAGGGCTACATGGTTGGGAATGCACTTAATGCCAATGAACTCTACACTTAAAAACGATCAATTTTCTTGTGTATATTTTACCACCAAAACAAAACCAACCCAAAAAACAGAAAAGCTCTCTTGTGTCCAAACTAAGCTCTTCAAGGCCAGCTCAGGTCAACCTAGGCATCATACCTTAGTGAGGTTCTCAAAACAAGGGTGTGGTGAGCGTTGCTGGGGGAGCGGAGCTTCGGAGAAAGGAAAAACTACCTAGGCACATGGTCTAGTGTCCAAACACCACCTATGGAAAGAAGAAAAACAAAATGCCTTTTAAATAGATTTGAAAGCAAATGTTAAAGTAAGGAAAGAGAGTTTAAACCCTAATTATACACATACCAGTACAAGTAAGACCCTCAGGGAAATCTCCAAATGTAAAACTCAAAGCATCCCCCAAAGATAATCAAGGGCGAACCCCTCCCAGCCCAGCCCGGCCAGGCCCTCCCATCACCCTTCCGGCTCAATGTCAAGAGCCTTCCCGGGCTCAAAACCCAGCTGACCTTGAGCAGTTTCTGCACCGGGGCTCTCAACAGAGTTCAGTGAGTCAGTATGTATAAACCTCTGGCCACACCGCCTGTCACCCAGCAAACGCATATGTCTGCCACTGGTCACATGGCCAGCAAAGCTTCCCTCACACATTTCCTGATAATGGGGCGAGGGAAGTCCTGCCCAAACTACCTGCCACACAGCTCCCCTCCAGCACTCAGGAACCCTCAGGACAAATGAGGATGCAGAGGGCCAGGCACAGAGCTGGACAGCTAAGCTGTGGGATCACAGGTTCCAGAGAGGAAGGTGGGGACAAACATCAGAGCATGACGAGACTGCCGGAAGTAGGGAAATCTAGCAGAATCCATTGTTTTAAACCAGGTATTCTTCAGCTATGGCTGAACTTGAGACTGTCCTTGGGAATGTGGTCACTATTAGTGCCTCACCCCCACCTCCTGAGATTCAGACTGCACTGGACAGTGCTCACCAACACTGCTGAAGGCTGACACAGTGGTGTACACCTGTAATCCCAGCACTCTGGGAGGCTGGGGTGGGATTGCAAGGTGGAGCCCAGGCTGGGCAATTTAGCAACTCAGTAAGACCTTGTCTCAAAAATGAAAGTGCTGGTGATGTAGCTCAGTGTGAAGGTCCTGGGTTCAATTCCTAGTACTATAAAGGAAAACAAACCCAACTCTGGTTAACGGTCTATCAGGTGCATGAACTTACAAGTGACAAAAGCCAAGGTCTTTTTCCTTTAATTTCTAATTCTATTTGGTTCCCCCCCCCGCCCCCCCGCAGTACTGGGAATTAAACTCAGGGCCTCACACATAGCTGCATACAGCCCCAACCCTTTTCATTTTATTTTGAGACAGGGTCTTAAAAGCTGCCCAGGCTGGGCTCCACCTTGCAATCCTACTGCCTCAGCTTCCCAAAGTGCTGGGATGGATCATCAAGTGCACAGTTTAGATCTTCACATTTTAAACCATTAACAAGCAGACACAGTAACATCTAAATGAGGACAAAAGGCAAAGACCAGGGGCCAAGGGGTGTCTGACATCTGCTGTCCAATAGTAACTAAGTCCTGAAATGCTCCCACAGCTGCACCTGGTTATTTGCTCCAGGGTGAGCTAGTGGCCCAGCCATGGGATGGTCAGGCTGTCTGGAGAGCCTCTCCTGGGCAGGACACATACAGAGAAGGCAGAGGATCCTGAGCTCAGGCTCCTCCAGGGTCCGCACTGCTCAGGTCTAGATGTGCACAGCTTTATAGTCACAGCACACTTCTCTGCCTTCAAAAGGAGCCTGCAAGGCTGGAGGAGCACTTAGAAGCACTTGACCCACCTGCCCCAGGGCCAGGATGGCTGCCCTGCACTCTGAGCTGTGTACTGGGAGGCAGTGTTCACGTCTCCCGTTTCCCATACCCTCCTCTGCCAGGGCGCTACTGGGTGTGACATATATGCACACCAGTGCAGGTAAGACCCTCAGGGAAATCTCCAAATGTAAAACTCAAAGCAGGCCCCAAAGATAGTCAAGGGCGAACCCAGTCTGATATTGGGACATACAGGGTACCCTTGCCACTGGTCTCATATTGAGACATACCCTTGCCACCATTATGACACACCTTAGCATGTTGCAAGACCAAGATTATAAAACACTGTTCCAGAACATTATTCCAGATTAGAGGGTTTTCCAGCACCAGAAACATTAAGGCCTGTTAAAGCCAGAGACTCTAGCAAACCATGCAGCTCAAGCCACCCCACAAACAAGGAAACTGAGGTCCAGAGAGGTGAAGCAATCACAGCAGAAAAGGCACAAACCAAAAAGGGCCACCACTGTGGGAGATTCCCGTTATTCCTGGCAAGGCCACAAGCTGCTGACCTAGCCTTCCCATAGAAATGGGGCTGGAGTCTCTTCCTACTTACAGTTATCCATTTAAATCTCTCAATCAAATACTGAGCAAAGGGCTTGTTCAGCCCTTAAAGTAGTGATTCTCAGCCCCGGATGCACATTAGAAACACTCTGGCTGGGAAGCTGAGGCAGAAGTTTGAGCCCAGACCAGACAATTTTGTGAGGTCTTGTCTCAAAATGAGGGTGTGGGGGGAATTGGGATGTAGTCCATCGTGAAGGCCCTGGGTTCAATCCCACTACTGGCAGAAAAGATGGAACAAAACAAGACCCGACCCAACTGGACCAGACCTGGGTCAGTTGCCCGAACCCTGGCCCCAGAACTCCAGGGTGGCCCCTCCCTCATGGTCCCGTTCGATCGGGTCCACACAGAGCTCTGCAGTCCTCAACCACCTCAAGCACTCTCTGCCTCCAGGGCTTGGATATCTGTTCCTCTCTCATCTGGATCACACTTCTCTCAGCTATTCCCATGGCTGCCAATCTCCTTCAGATCTCTATTCCAGTGTCTTTTGAGAGGGTCTGGTCTCTCCTTGTAGTTCAAGCTGCCTTGAACTCACTATGTAGCCCAGGATGGCCTTAATTCACTGCTACCCTCCCGCCTCAGCCTATCAAGTGCTGGGATTACAGGTGTGCACTACCACACCCAGCCTTGTCTTTTTAAAATGCTCTTATTTTTCCTTTATTAAAGTTACAGCCACGCATAGTGGTGCATACCTGTAGTCCCAGCACTCGAGAGGCTGAGACAGAAGGATTGTCACGAGTTCAAGGCCAGCCTGGGCTACGTAGTGAGTTCAAAACCAGTCTGAACTATATAGCAAGACCCTGGTTCAGGCCCCCCAAAAAAGTTTAATGTAAAAGCTACACTTTCACACTAAAGAAACAAATACAGAAAAGCCAATCTTCAAGCTCCATCCAACACACTATTGACAACTGTATATTTACTAGAGAAGTATCTCCACAATTGACAGTTGTATATTTACTAGAGAAATATCTCCACTCGCCCAGAGGCATGTGCACAGACTTGTGTGAATGCATACGCAACAGGGTCAAGATGTCCCTGGCACTGCATCCCTGGCTGTCCTGCATCTTGCTTTGATCTTTACCTAGGAGCTGGGTACCTTTCTCAATGGTGGGGTGGAGTATTTTTATTGGCTATATAAGTCAATGAGATTTCTCTGCTTTCTCTATTTTGATATAAGATCTTGATATGTTGCCCTGGCTGGTCTTGAACTTGGTTGGGCTTTTTGTTTATCTTGTTTTATGGCACTGGGGACTGAACTCAGGGCCTTCACACTGAACTACATCTGTAGCGTCCAGCCCATTCACTCATTCATTCATTTTTATTTATTTTGTTTTTTTGAGACAGGGTATCCCTATGTAGCTCAGGCTGGCCTTGAACTCACTACATAGCCCAGGCTGGCCTCAAACTCACAACAATCCTCCTGAGTGCTAGGATTATAGGTGTGCACCACTATTTTATTTTGAGACAGGGTCTCAATAAGTCACTAAATTGCCCAAGCTGTGAGCTACAAAGTGAGCTCAAGGCCAGCCTAAACGGCATAGTGAGACCTTGTCCCAAAAAGACCAAAAATAAATAAATAAATAAATATTAAAATTAAATAAATTGCCCAGGCTGGGCTTAAATTTATAATCCTCCTGTCCCAGCCTCAAAGTGCAGGGATTGCCAGGTGTGGTGGTGCACACCCGTCATCCTAGCACTCGGGAGGCTGAGGCAGGAGGACTGTTGTGAGTTCAAGGCAAGTCTGGGCTACAAAATGAGCTTGAGGCCAGCTTGAACTGCATAACAAGACCCTGTCTCAAAAAAGACAAAAGAAAACAAAAAGTGCAGGGATTACAGATGTGCACCACCATGTCTGGCTTCACATCTCTACTTAAAGTAGAAAACCTGCCCTTGCTGCTCTATTTTTCTGTGTATACTTTTCACCACCTCTCACAGTTAATATTTTCTTGCTTGTTCTCTATAAGCCCACAGTCAACAGACATTGGCTCTGTGAGAGAAAGATTGTGATTTTTTATTTTGCTTCCTATCACATCCCCAGTGCTAGAAGAGTGCCTGGTAAACAACAGGCCCTCAAACATTGATTTAAGAAATTAATGAACACATTAAAAACACGAGTTTTAGGGCTAGGAGTATAACTCAGTGGAAGAGCACTTGCCTAGCATTCATGAGGCCCTAGGTTCAATCCCCAGCACTGCAAAAAAGAAAAAAAAAAAAAAAAAAAAAGAAAGAAACACCAATTTTAAAAGAAGGCTTAGGGCTGGGGATATAGCTCAGTGGCACAGTGCCTGCCTGGCAAGCACAAGGTCCTGAGTTCGATTTCTAATATAAGGCTTATATCAAAAGATCATAAAGAAGAAGCTGATTATAACAAAATCCTTCCCTGTTGCTCCTATCTCAGGAAAAACCTTTTTAAAAACAGGCTAGGGGCTGGGCATAGTGGTACACTCCTATAATCCCAGCATTCTGGATGGAGGCTGATGCAGGAGGCTCACCATGAGTTCAAGGTCAGCCTGAACTACAAAGGGAGATTCTGTCTCAAGAACAGAAAAACAAAAACAGGCTGTAAAGCTGGGTGTGGTGGCGCATCATGCCTATGATCCCAACACTACAGAGGCTGAGGTGGAAAACGGTAAGTCCAAGGCCAGACTACGCAGCTTGGCAAGACTGTCACAAATGAAAGGATTGGAGGGGCTGTGGGATGTAGCTCAATGGTAACCCACTTGCTGATTGTGGGTGAGGTCCTGAGTTCAATCCTCAGCACCACAGTGAAAAAGCAGAAGCCTGATAAAACTGAAACCATTTAGAAGTATCAGTCAACTAATCCAACCAAGTGG